GGGGCGGGGGGGATGGGAGGGAGGGGAGCGCTGACCCGGGGAGGTTTCCGGCGTCCGGCGTGAGCGCGGGCCCTCTTGTCTTCTAGCGCTTCAGGTCCTCCGTGTACAGACGGTACAACGACTTCGTGGTTTTCCACGAGATGCTGCTGCAGAAGTTCCCCTACCGCATGGTGCCGGCCCTTCCGCCCAAGAGAGTGCTGGGAGGTAGAGCGGGCTCGGGCGGGGGCCGGGGCGCCCGGTGCGAGACGTGCGCGGGAAGGCCGGGGCCAGCTAGGGTGGGTGCCGCGGACCCCCTCGTTCCCCACTGGTGGCGCCCAGCGCTCACGCTGGGGACCGGCGAGGGGCGGCTACTGTGGGCTACGACAGAAGGGACCCGGGCTTTCCCGTCACGTCTCCAGATGGCCGGGGTCAGGGGGGTGGGGGGCGCGGCGCAGGCCGCCGGCCGACCCCTTGCTCTCGGTCTGCAGCCGACCGCGAGTTCATTGAGGCCCGGCGCAGGGCCCTGAGGCGCTTCATTAACCTGGTGGCCCGGCACCCCCCGTTCTCCGAGGACGTGGCCCTCCGGCTCTTCCTGTCCTTCAGTGGCCCGGTGAGTATCGCTCTGCTGTGGGTGCGCCCCGAGTCTCCCCGCGTGAGTGGCGTTCCTGAGCGTGCTTGTTCCCCTGCCCTCCTTGTTTGGGGGCCCTCGGGGAGTCTGCTGCCCTCGTGGTGCCAGGAGTGACATCTGCTCTCCTCCCAGATCACGGGGGTGTAACGTTACGAGGCGCCCCTGGCTTTGGCTTGGCGGGGTTTTGTGTATCCAGGTAGAGGGTTCTCTGCACGGTCGCCGTGGGCACTGAGGCTCGGTCACAGAGGCTCTGTTTGGGAGGGGTTACGGAAATGCTCGAGACCCCAGATCAGGATGAGCGATTTCTGGGAAGCGAAAAGAGCCACCTTAAGTACCACTGGAAGGCTGAGTTGAGTTATATATTTTCTTAATGTTTCTTTTTGAGTGAGAGAGAGAGAGAGAGAGAGCACGCACACAAGGGAGGGGCAGAGAGAGAGGGGAACAGAGGATCCCAAGCAGGCTCCAGGCTCTGAACCTTCAGCACAGAGCCCAACACGGGGCTCCAACTCCCGAACCGTGAGATCGTGGCCTGAGCCGAAGTTGGACGCTTACCTGACTGAGCCCCCCAGGAGTCCCCTGAGCCGAGTCTTTCTAGTGGAGCTGCAGCATAGACCTGCGTGCCGGGACTGTCTCCGCGTGGACGTTAGTTTCAGTTAGAAACCCGGCGGCCGTGGGCGTCCCTCTGCTGTCTTGCAGTGTCCTTGTTCACAGTTGTGGAGGAAGTCACTGCCTGGTCCCCAGGGCGGCCGGCTCCGCCTAGGAAGAGGGTGGGGTGGGGGTGGGGCTCCAACACGGTAGCTTTCCCTTCCCCAGGGACCTAGGAGGGGCTCGATCCCACACTCCCTTCCCCTGCGGGAAGATGAGACACACCGAGACCCTCCTTGAGAAGGCCGCTGGCTTTCCCTCTATGCCAGCCAGGGGTACCTGTCACCTTTGCCTCTTTTATGGGACCTAAAGCAGTCGTTCAGGGGACGTTTCTGTGACTGCCTGCCCTTGAGCTGGGAGTGTGGGTCTTCTGAACGCTGGGTGGACAGGTTCCTTTAGAGCAGGGATCTTCATTGCCACAAGAGGAACGTGGTGGGACGTGGGAGCTGTACACGGCTCACGACAGGGGAGGGTGCTCCTAGACGTGGAGCCGGACGGCGCCCCCATTCTAGAGGCATGAGGCTCCTCTGACCCCTTGTTCTCACACAGGTAGAGTGTCCCTATGGCCTCCTTGACTCTTTTCTCTGGTAAAACGAGAGAATTGGGCCAGATGGTCTTCAGGGCCTCTCTGAAATTCTAGAATTCCTTGACCCACAAACAGCTGCATGTTAGGATCTTTGCCTGTGTTTCCCGTGGCTCTTTGTGGGTCCTTGACGTGGACTGCCACGGAGGCCTGCTGTCAGAGGGCCGGGCTGGGCCCCTGTGTGCTGCCCACCAGCTCTCCCGGGGCTCTGTGGGCCTGGGGCCCGTGGGTCTGTGTGCAGGGAGGAAGAGACCTCATCTTTGGTCCCTGTGCCCCACGTGGGTGGGACCTAGCAGATGTGATGAGCCCGACGGCAGCAGCACGGACGCCGTCCCTGCCGTGTGCGTGCGGTCTCTGTTTCCTGGAGACAGGTCTCCCCTCCGGAGCTGCTGTTAGGTCAGGCTTTCCTGTCTGTGGACGGCCGTCCTGAAGGTGGAGGTCAGTGGAGAAAAGTCCGGGAAGAGATTCTGGATACTTACGTGAGAGCAGATCCGTGGAAACCTGGCTCTCTGGAGGAAGGACTACATCCTGCCTTTCGCTGACTTAATGGGTCTCAGGCAGACGCTGCTGCGGCTGGTGGATGTGGTGTTTCTGTCTTCCTTTCGCAGGACGTGCAGAACAAGTTGAAGGAGTCGGCTCAGTGTGTTGGAGACGAGTTCATGAGCTGCAAGCTGGCTCCTCGGGCCAAGGTACCGCTCCCGCCGCCACACTCGCCCCCCCCAACCAGGGCGGCGACCGCGTACCAGCTACCGCCCTGGGCCTCCCCCGCGTGCTGGAGACGACACGAAGGCCCGCGGCGTGGTTTTCTCATCGGCTCTCCTTTCAGACAGCGGGTGTGCTGCCCATTTCCCAGATGGGGAGACAGGCTCAGAGAGGCTGTCGTCTGGCAAGGTCCCAGACTTCTGAGCGGCCTGCCCGGACGTGACTGAGGCTTTTTGTGATTCGGGCAGACACTGGCTTCGTCACTAGCTTCTTGGATTTCAGGGGAGTGATTGTCACATTGGTTTATTTTAAAATTTAGTCTGTTCTTTTTTTCAAAAAGAATTAAGGTAGCTGTTGGCTAGCTTTTTTCCTTTCCTTTTTTAAATTTTTTGATGTTTATTTTGAGAGAGAGCGAGCCAGAGCGATTGGTGAGGGGCAGAGAGAGGGAGAGAGAGGATCTCGAGCAGGCTCTGCATTGTCAGCACAGAGCCTGGCGTGGGGCTCGATCCCACAGACCGGAGATCATGACCTGAGCTGAAACCAAGAGTCGGACGCTTAGCTGACTGAACCCCTGGGCGGCCCTCCTTTCTTGTTCAACTGCTTCTCCATACAGAAATACATGTATCTTACCTTCATTTCATTCCCTAAGCAGCCTGTTTTCTAAGCATTATCTAGTTAATGTTACGGTAAACGATGGTTAATATTAACAGGTAGTTAACAGTAAAGCTGGTGAGAAGTTGATTCTTGGGGGAAAGTGAGGGCCCCTGGGAAGCCCTGCCTCGAGGGAAGGGCTAGGACTTTGTGATTGTCACTCTGAGCTTGAGGATTAGTACTTGAAGGTTAGTACTTGAAGGTTAGTACTTGAGGATTAGTACTTGAAGGTTAGTACTTGAAGGTTAGTACAGGGGTGTGTTTCGGCAGGACGTCAGTTTGATCCGGCTTCAGCGGACACTAGGGGCCACTCCTCTTCGTGTCCGTGGTGTGTGGGTGATGATGGGCTGTTTCTTTCCTGGACCAGAAGGGAGGCCCAGTGAAGTGCCCCCGTGGCCTGGTGTCTGGGCTCACTGGCTGCTCAGTGGGTACCGTTCTTCCCCTGCCGACGGTCGTCTTTTCCCCAAGGCACTTCACGGCCAGTAACCCACGGCCTTCTCTCCTCCCTGTCAGGACTTCCTCCCAGCCGACATCCAGACTCAGTTCGCTGTCAGCCGGGAGCTCATTCGAAACATCTACAACAGCTTCCACAAGCTTCGCGACCGGGCCGAGCGGATTGCGTCGAGGGCCATCGACAATGCTGCTGACCTCCTCATCTTCGGGAAGGAGCTGAGGCAGGTGCCCCCAGCTCTGCAGGGCTCGGTCAGGTGGGGAGGGGCCTGCCGATGTCCAGGCAGAGGTGCTTGCCCAGAATCCCCTCCGTTCTGACCTGGTTCACTTTGGAAAGGGGAAGCAGAGAGTTGGGGAAATGGTCAGTGATGTTAGGAAGAAGAAAACTGAGGCATTTAGGCAGGGAAACGTGGATCCCTCAATACGTGAGTGTGCACCACTATGTCACACGTGTGTCACATGTATGTCACACGTTCTCCCGAGGTCGGGACTAGATCTGAGAAGGGGTCGATTTCACTGGGAAAAGGACACTGAGGGCTGTTGTCAGCATGACTCCGCCCTCCCCCGCAGGCGCTGGGGGTTGCTGGCCGGGACTGGTCCCGAGGTCTGGGGGAGGGGCTGAGGCCCGGCCTTTCAGACGCACGTCCTGGGTCACGGGTTGTCGTGGCGGACGGCCAGGTCAGCTCCCAGGCCTTGAGTGTCTTGTCGTCCGTCTCTTTTTCCCCTAGTGCTTTAGGGTCTGATACGACCCCGCTCCCCTCCTGGGCCACTCTGCACAGTAGCACGTGGGGGTCCCTGAAACAGGCACTGAAAGGCCTGTCCGTTGAATTTGCACTGCTCGCCGACAAGGCCGCCCAGCAGGTGAGTGAATTTGTTCTCCACGGTGTCCGTTCCGAAGAACATTCTGTACCTGGGGAGCACACGCGGGACATCTTCTCACGTGCACTTCAGAGGTCAGAGTCTGCGGCGAGTGGATTGCCGGGCCCCGCGGGAACTGCACATCCCCGTCAGTTCCGAGCAGCTTCCTGTGAGCCGTTGACTCTGAAGAGGGTTGCTGATGACGAAGACAGATGGGGTCTGATCTTCAGAGGGTTGACTCTGCTGAAATCAGATGCTGTAACTGCCCTGGCAAACGTAATCTCTGACTTCCTCAGATACCTGTGGGTGGACCAAATAGTTTCCGCTGTGCTGTCCCAGCCAGCAAGTATTTGGCCCCTCGGTCACCCAAGAGAACAACGAGTAAGCTGCAGCACCCCGCGAGAGCCCCCTCGTACCCCCCAGATACCCAGTTAGACTCCGGAAATGTTGCCGCCATCCACACGGGTGCGGTGTGGTCGTTGGGGATCGATTGGAAGGTGCGGTGTTCACTGACAGCCGGAAAGGCTCATCTGGGTGCTTTTATGCTGTAAAACTGCTACGTGACTTTGAGGGTGAGCATTTGCTGCCCAGTTCTTGGGGAAACGGTCTTTCCCTAACCATCTAAAAACTGTCTAAAAACGGTAGATGGTTTTAAATAAATTAAAGCGATGTACTTGGGAAAGCCTTGCTGCCTCAGACGCAAAGCTCCTTAGTAGCAAGCCGGAGAACACAGTGATGGTGGCCGATCCCCAAGCGTGGAATTGGGGGATTTTCAGGCTTCACGTGGGGCCCTCAGGGGCCCAGGATATCTCTGAGTGTTGAAGAAGGGATCTGATCTTGTTGCGGGTAGGGAAAGTCCCGGGTTTTCTTCCTCTGTGGTTCTGGTGCCTGTGTGTTCCCATTAGAAACTGGTGTTGGCGTTTCTCGGAATTGGTGCCGGGCCAAGTCCGTGTCCAGGTCTGCGTGGCGCCCACATTTCCACCGCGGGGAGGACCGGGCACGTGGTGTTGGAGGTGTGGCAGCGTGGAGAGGGAGCCTGCTCGGTGCGCGGCCGGTGTCTTGTGCTGGGACGTGGCTCAGGTCCCTTTGGTCTCAGGCCTGTTTCTGGTCCGTGAAAAGGAGGGGGCTGGATGAAGTCATTAAAACACTTCTCATTTAACCTGTTGAACTTTCCTCACAGCTGATTGTAAAATGGAAAAGTGAAGTTATCCTGGTTGCGGGGATCCTGGGCCCCAGACAGCTCCTTCTTCAACAAGTAGCCTCGTGGCAGGGGTGGGGGTGTGTGTGGGGCGCACCGTGAACCCCCCGAGGTCACGCAGAACGCGGGGTGGAAATTCCAAACTCTGTCGTCTCCGGTGGTTTCCGACTGAGATTTGGATGCTGGGTTTCTGCGTTTGAAGAGGGAGACAGGGTTCGGGCTTCTGATGTGCAAGTTCGTAGTTTGAAGTTCCCCCCGGCTCCGAGATTCTCTGATATCTCACGGAGGCTGCTTTGAAATGCGACGTCTGAGGAAGTGCCACTTCCTGAATGTTGCTCTCTGTCCGCGGTGGTTTTCACGGTGAAGTGGAATTAGTGTCGTCTTAATGTGAAAGTGGATCAGAGGCCCATCAGGACTTTGATCCAGCACAGCCGGGGTTCTAGTCACTCTGGCCGTGTGAGCAAAGGCATGCGAGGGAGGGTTTTCCTCACTCTGTCTCCACGCGTCCTGGCTTTGTTCTCTGCAGACTGTGAGGAGATCTGCATCACCGCAGCCCAGCGAGACCGCTGAGACCCAGAGCGGGCCGTTTTCCTGCGGACAGGATGGCGGTGTGGGGTCTCACGCGTTGGGGCATCAGACTAGAACGAGGACCTGGGAGCCAGGGACGCGAGCAGGAATGACCCTCAGGCCCTCCTACTACTAGACGGGTTGGGGGAGGCTCCATTCTCCTGGGCCCCCCTGCCCACTCAGGAAGGAACGGGGCACCTGTGGATCTCTGGTGTTTTCCTTTCCAGGTTTTAAAAGACTGAAACACTGCTATTTTCCTGTAACCTTACTGGCTGGAATCTTGGCTCTGGGCGTGGGTTGGAGTGGCCTGGAGCCTCTGAGGTCATCGGGCTGGAGACCTGGGGTTCCCTGAGTCGGCCGCAGAGCGTGGGCCGGAACCGCTGGCTCGCAGTGCGGTGCTCGTAACCCCCTCAGACACGTCCTTCTATTCGCTTCTTCGCACCTTCTGCCGCCTTCCGGCGGCACCCTCTACACACTGGGCCTAATGTGAGGTTTATGAGAGGCGCTCTTCATGCTCTGCCACAGCTGGAGCTCTAGAGGTCGTAAAAGGGCTCATTTTCGTGAGGAGCCGGTGCTGCGCCTGGGCGAGGTGCTCGGCAAGTGTTGGGAGCTGAAGGACGTAAGCTGTGCTGTAGCCCTTCAGGACACGTGGCCGTGAGCACAGTGTTAGCACTGGGTGTTCCCAGGAGGCCAGCCTGGCCCCAACTGTGACCGTGGCTTTGGCGGGCCGTGAGGCCCAGTGGTGTTGAGCGGCGAGCGCATGTGGACGGGTGACCTTGGGGGCCCAGGATGTAGCTCTCGCCTAGCCGCTGGCTTCTCTGGCTCCCCTGCCTTGTGTGGGGGGCTGTCGTGTGGGAAGGGGGCTCTTCTGCAGAGCTGGCTGGTGGCCGTGGGGGGAGGGCCGGCTCAGGCTTGCAGATGGGAGGCCGTGGCCGGGCCTCTGGGTCCCGTGGTGCTCGGTGTTGGTCACCCACCCTTGTTTTCTAGGGCAAACAGGAAGAGAATGACGTGGTGGAGAAGTTGAACCTCTTCCTGGATTTGCTGCAGTCCTATAAAGTGAGTCCGGCTGTTCCTTGGCCAGGGACGGAGCTGTTGAGAAGTCTCCCGTGAACTTTCAGGGCTTGACTCCGGGGGAGTGGGAAAAGAGCCATGAAGCCAGGGCCGAGGAGGGAAGACCGTGGGTGGTCTCGGCGGGCACTGCAGGGGTTCCGGCTGTGGCCCGGCAGGCGTGCGGACAGGCCTCTGGCTTGCCTTGGTCTGCCCATGGAAGGTGTGTGGGTGTGTGCACATGCACACAAACGCGTGAGTGTAGGCTCACGTGAATGCGTGTGTATAGGTATGTGTGTATGTGTGCATGTGTATGTGAGTGTGCGTGTGTATGAATGTGCATGCATGTGTGCATGCATATGCGTATGTGTGTTCACGTATGTACGTGAACCTGTGCGTGTGTGTGAATGTACCTGAGTGAGTGTACGTGTGTATGTGTTAGGGTATCTGTGTATATATGTATCTGTGTGTACATGTGAATGTGTGTGCACACATATTAATATGTGTACCAGTGTACGTGTTTGCATGCACACGTGTGTATCTCTATGTGTGCACGTACGCATGCACACGTGTGCACGTAGTGTGCATTTTTGCGTGTGTATGCATGCACGCCTATACGTGTGTGCACGTGTGTGTGTGTGAGAGCACGCGTGAATATGCTAGGTCCTTACAGATACTGTGAGGGGCTGGCCTGGTACTGAGGGAGCTTGCCCCTTCCACGGGCAGAGATTCCAGGAAGTCTGACTGCAGACTTCCTAACTGTCGCAGCACTGGTGACAGGTTGGATTGCCTGTGAAGCCAGAGAATCCTTCTTGCTGAGCTCAAGGAGAGGGGGCCTAGTACTTTGAGGAATGTTCCGAAGGGATTTGTCTGTTAAGTTGGATGGTAGCCAGGCAGCCTCGAAATCCCAGCACTGGTTCAGTGGCCGATATTTCCCACAAGACTCCTGATTGAGGTTATTTTAGGGCTGCAGGGAAATGCCCGTGCAGCTTCCTTTTGGAGACTGGTCTCTGTGCTGCTGGAGGCACACAGCGTTCTGACACTGGGCTGCGTGACAGGCCGAGGTCCGGCGCTGTCCCGGCGCTCTGGCATCTTCTCTGTGGACAGGCCCTGTCTTCCGTGTGGTTTTGGTTTGTGGTGCCGACTGGCACTGCGACCCCTCTTGGTTCGACCCTGGGCCTGGCCCCAAGCCGCTCTGTGCCGTGAACACTTCCCGGGCAGGGAGGGAGAGAGTGTGTGCCTGAGCCTTTTCTGAGGCGGGAGGGGCTGGAGTGTGAACGGCGTGGAGGGAGAGGCTCCAGTGTGAATGGCGTGGAGGTGCTCGAGTGTGAACGGTGCGGAGGGAGGGATTCGAATGTGAACGGCGCGGAGGGAGACGCTCGCGTGTGAACGGCGCAGAGGGAGAGGCTCGCGTGTTAATGGCGCGGAGCGGCGTCTCGAGTGTGAATGCCGGAGGGAGGGCTCGGGTATGAACGGCGGAGGGTGGAGGGAGGACTGGAGTGTGAACGGCGTGGAAGGAGACCCTCGCGTGTGAACAGCGCGGAGGGAGAGGCTCGCGTGTGAATGGTGCGGACTCGGAAGCCTGCGTCTGTTGCATAGTCTCCTTCCCGTGCTCCCTTTCACCTGCTGGCTCCCACGGTGGGGGGCGGGGCGGACGGCTCCGGGTCCCTTCCCGCTGGGGGCCGAGCACGGTGCACCTCCCTCCACAGGACCTGTGCGAGCGGCACGAGAAGGGCGTGCTGCACAAGCACCAGCGGGCCCTGCACAAGTACAGCCTGATGAAGCGGCAGATGATGAGCGCCACTGTGCAGAGCCGGGAGCCCGACTCCGTGGAGCAGCTGGAATCCCGCATCGTGGAGGTGGTCCTGGCGCGGGGGGTGGGGGGAGGGGCCGTGGGCGGCCTGGGTCTGCCCCGCTGGGCTGGGCTGCGCGCCCGGCCTGGTGGCCCCCCCGGAGCTGGACTTCCGGCCTGTCCTTGGCTGGCTCCCGTGCTGCCCGGACGTCGCTGCCCTGTGCCGGGGTAGCCGGCGGCGGGAGGGCCGCCCCGCCACGCCCAGAGCGGTGCTTTGTGCTGAACCCAACTGAGCCACCCAGGCGCCCCCGGAGCGGTGCCGTCCGGATGCCCGGTTGGCACGAGTGGCTGGCGTTTCCCTCGGCGGTGGTGCGGGGCGGGGCGCCCCGCGGTGCGCGCCAGCCCGGTGCAAGGGCGCCTCCTTCCTGTGCAGCAGGAGAACGCGATCCAGACGATGGAGCTCCGGGGCTACTTCTCCCTGTACTGCCTCCACCAGGAGATGCAGCTGGTCCACGTGTACCTGCCCCTCACCTCCCACATCCTCGGTGCCTTTGTCAACTCTCAGATCCAGGGGCACAAGGAGGTGGGTCTGCCTGCCGGCACCTTTCTGCCTGCAAGTCTGGCACCCTGCGGCTGGCCCTGCAGGGTCACCGGGAAGGGCAGGGAGCTGGGGGGTGAGGGGGTGGGCACGGGACCTTTCAGCCCGCCTTGCTCACATCTGCTAGTCCCACACGGAGCCTGAACTGCAGGGGTGAAGTTGTCCACGCCATCCTCGGGGGAGGGGACGGGACTGTGGGAGGCAACGAAGGAAGCATTTCTCTTCTCCCGGAGGAGTTTCAGAGTCGGGGTAAAGCAGAGCGTCCCCCAGAACTGAGTGAGACAAGAGACGGTGGGGAATCAGTCAGAGGAGGCAGGGGGTCGCTTCCTGAAGACCCCTGGTCAGCGTCCTCCAGATGGCGGCTTATAAACGGGGATGAAGCGCTGTGCTTGTCCTGAGGCTTGGCAGGCCGCGCTGACACCTACCTGCCTGGCCCCCGTGACCCAGAGCCGTGTTGCGCTAGCCAGGCTTGGACTCTTGGCTTCTCAGACGGGGCCGGGTGTGTCCTCTCCGGACAGCCTGGAAGGCTGGGTGTCTGCAGGGTTGAGGAAACTTGTGAACGGTTCTCGGGTGGTTATGCTTTTGCTGGAGCTGCCTTCAGACATCGTGTGTTCCGGGTTCCTTCGACGCCTTTAGTTAGCCCTGGGAGCGCAGTCACCTGCTCAGGGGTCCTTGATAACAGTGGGGCAGCTTGGGCCACAGCTTGTAGAGCTCCGGCTCCGTGCCTGTTGGAGCTCTGCAGCCTTGGTCGTGTCCTTGAACCTCCACGATCACCTGGGGACCCGGAGGGCGATGGGCTGCAAGCAGCTGGGGTCCGGGGCTGTGCTGGGCGCACGGAAGACTACAGCGTCCCTGTCCCCAGGGACCACACTGACCAGCGGGGGGTGGGGGGGACCATCCTGACTCAGCCAGCCGGGGAGGAATGGGCTTCTCCCAGACTGGGAAGATGTGTGTGGAGCCCACATGTGGGGTGGGTATGGTTCTGTCTGGACGGACAGCGCATAGCAGGAGCTCAGGTGTGCAGTCCATAACACTCGTGGACGACATCTTGGAGGCAGGGTGAGGGGCTAGAAGGTGGAGGTTGTCAGTCCGGCCGGGGGCATTTGTGAATGAGCGTCTCAGCGGGCAGCTCGGTCTCTGGTCTAGAACCAGTCATGCCGGAAACACCCGGACGGCTTGTCCTGTTGGACTTCGGGATTCCCCTTACACCAAGCCATCCGAGGCGGAAGGGGATGAGAGCAGGCAGCGGAGGGGCCTGTGGCGCCGGGGGCAGTAGCCGGGGTCTCCGGGTGGGCTGTGTCGGGCTTCTAGGGGTTTTGCGGGGAACGGACGCACTGGGGCGTGTCGCCGGCTCGTGGCCTGTCTCAACCTGGGACACTCCCTCTTCTCCAGATGAGCAAGGTGTGGAACGACCTGAAGCCCAAACTAAACTGCCTCTTCGCTGGACCCAGCGGCTCCCCGACTCCACCGAGGCTCCCGCAGGACGGCGTGTCTCCTCGCTAGTGCCAGACGCCTGGGGCGGGAGCTCCGGGCGGCCTCACTAAAACCTCTTTCCAAATGGCGTGTTCCTGTTTAATTCCCTCCAGATAGTGGCTGCCCCCCACCCCCCATGGGCTCCCCGGTGTCTGACTGACCCCCAGGCCCAGTGGGGCCGGGGTTTGGGTGCTCCCCTCGTGGGGAGTGGGGCTGAGGATGTGACCCCAGGCCTCTGAGCATCCACGAGGGCCGGAGGCCATGGGGGTCTGCTCAGCTGTCCTGGGCCCCGCCCGACGCTGCACTGTGCCTGAGCCTGGCGGTCAAGAGTTAAGGTTCCCTGGAAAGGTCTCTGATTCCAGGAGGTCAGGGTGGCGAGGATGGCTTCCACATAGCAGGTGCCTGGGGGCATGTGCAGGGGGCACCCGTGAGTTTTGGGGAGTCGGGAGGGTCTGGGTCCAATGACCAGGGATGGGGAGGTTGGAACCCCCGTGTCGGACACGAGGTGGCTGTATCTGATGAACCGGTTAGTGAGGGTGGACTGTGACCTAAGGCCGGCGGGCACTCCGGACGGGTGTGGGTACGGCGGG